CTACATGTTTAATACAATTCCCATCAAAATTCTAATGACATTCATTAGAATTTATATGGAAACACAAGAGGCCACAAATAGCCAAGGCAATACTCAATCAAAAGAACAATGCTAGAGGTATCATCATACCTGACTTCAAACTATATTACAAAGCAATAACAATAAAAACAGCATGGTACTGGCACAAAAACAGACATGAAGACCAGTGGAACAGAATAGAGGACCCAGATATGAAGCCACACAACTATAACCAACTTGTCTTTGACAAAGGAGCTAAAAATATACGATGGAGAAAAGCAGCCTCTTCAACAAAAACTGCTGGGAAAACTGGTTAGCAGTCTGCAAAAAACTGAAACTAGATCCATGTATATCACCCTATACCAATATTAACTCAAAATGGATCAAGGATCTTAATATCAGACCAAACTCTAAAGTTGATACAGGAAAGAGTAGGAAATACTCTGGAGTTAGTAGGTATAGGTAAGAACTTTCTCAATAGAACCCCAGCAGCACAGCAACTAAGAGATAGCATAGATAAATGGGACTTCATAAAACTAAAAAGCTTCTGCTCAACAAAAGAAATGGTCTCTAAACTGAAGAGAACACCCACAGAGTGGGAGAAAATATTTGCCAGCTACACATCAGACAAAGGACTGATAACCAGAATATATGGGAACTTAAAAACTAAATTCTCCCAAAACTAATGAGCCAATAAAGAAATGGGCAAGTGAACTAAACAGAACTTTCTCAAAAGAAGAAATTCAAATGGCCAAAAAACACATGAAAAAATGCTCACCATCTCTAGCAATAAAGGAAATGCAAATTAAAACCACACTAAGATTCCACCTCACCCCTGTTAGAATAGCCATCATCAGCAACACCACCAACAACAGGTGTTGGCGAGGATGCGGGGAAAAAGGAACCCTCTTACACTGTTGGTGGGAATGTAACTAGTACAACCATCTGGAAAAAAATTTGGAGGCTACTTAAAAAGCTAAACATTGATCTACCATTTGATCCAGCAATACCACTCTTGGGGATATACCCAAAAGACTGTGACACAGGTTACTCCAGAGGCACCTGCACATCCATGTTTATTGCGGCACTATTCACAATAGCCAAGTTATGGAAACAGCCAAGATGCCCCACTGACGAATGGATTAAGAAAATGTGGTATCTATACACAATGGAATTTTATGCAGCCATGAAGAAGAACGAAATGTTATCATTCGCTGGTAAATGGATGGAATTGGAGAACATCATTCTGAGTGAGGTTAGCCTGGCCCAAAAGACCAAAAATCGTATGTTCTCCCTCATATGTGACATTAGATCAAGGGCAAACACAACAAGGGATTGGACTTTGAGCACATGATAAAAGCGAGAGCACACAAGGAGGCGTGAGGATAGGTAAGACACCTAAAAAATTAACTAGCATTTGTTGCCCTTAACGCAGAGAAACTAAAGCAGATACCTTAAAAGCAACTGAGGCCAATAGGAAAAGGGGACCAGGAACTAGAGAAAAGGTTAGATCAAAAAGAATTAACTAGAAGGTAACACACACACAGGAAATTAATGTGAGTCAACTCCCTGTATAGCTACCCTTATCTCAACCAGCAAAAACCCTTGTCCCTTCCTATTATTGCTTATACTCTCTCTACAACAAAATTAGAGATAAGGGCAAAATAGTTTCTGCTGGATATTGAGGGAGTGGGGGGGCAGAGGGAGGGGGCAGAGTGGGTGGTAAGGGAGGGGGTGGGGGTAGGGGGGAGAAATGACCCAAGCCTTGTATGCACATATGAATAATAAAACAATAAAAAAATGAAAAAATAAACAATGTAAAAATAAAATTAAACTCTCACATGTAAATTCAAAATGACTGCAGGAAAATTCACCAAATCCCTGAGTGCTTTTAAAGAGATCTTTCTGTTTCTGCATGCATTTCCTTATAAGAGAAGAGAGAAGCAACTTGCTGCTTTCTTTGTGACTTTGTTCCTTAGTAAGATTATTTTCCTAACAACAATAGTTTTCTAGTATCAAGGAAATGCTTTATTTCATTCTCCTCCCTTTAGTTTATTCTATCTATATGTTTAAAATATTAATAAACACCAGTAGAATTCTGAAACTGCTCATTAACTGAGCAATGCATACCTAACCTCTTTTATTTTTCCTCAGAAGGAAACTTAAATTTACCTACAATTTGGAGGATGAACCTTCATAAACATCGTTAATTGACCTGTATTTTTTCAATATTAAGTGTCAAGTATGTAGTAAGAACACTTGTCTCCATCCCCCTTTCTTATCTGAAAGAAATCCTGAAACAGCATGAAAATGCTTAGGTATGAGTTCAATGAGCATAAGATAAAAAGATATTTCAGGACAATTAGTGACCACGCCAAGACAATTAGTGACCACACCAAGAGGTTTTGATTAAACAAAGGTACAGCTTTGTTCTATTTGCAAGGTTGGAATTGCTTAGTGATCATTTCCATGGCAAACACCATGGATGTTGCTATGCCTTCCAGGTCAGTAGTGTGAATGTTAAAACTGTCTGTAGCACTATTGTTGGCAAATGTAAGCTATAACTTGACAGAAATGGAAATCAGATATGAAACAATTATCCTATGCTGTATGCCCACACAGAAAATATTCCAAGCTATTCTACAAATCCAATAATTAGCATACATAGCTGAGTCTCTACTTTCTGAGTATCACTGCACAATACTAGGCACCCACTAACTCTGGGTTTAAAACTCAACACTGGCACTTTTCTGCCAGGATCTGTTAAGTTGACACAACTTTTCTGAATCTACATCCTTTATATGTGAAATGAGGAAAAATCACACTTATCTCTCAAGATTATTCTTTATTCTACCAGTCTGAATCCTGTTGGGAAAACAGAGACCATACCAGTTATTTTAACAGAAAGAATTTAGTATAGGAAATTGGCTAACCAGTTATTAGAAAACCAAAAGAAAAAAAGGATGATGAAGACACAGCTATTGCCCAAAAGGATGGGAGAGAAAAGGAGAGGAAAGAGGTTGGAGTTATGAGAACTTGGATGCTTTTAAGACAAACCTTGTGAGGCTGAGACAGAGTTCAAGAGAAGGGACAACCACTTCTGAGGTACAATCATTGTAGAAGCTTGGTGACTCACAAAGCTGAAACCATCTGATTCTAGAAAGGTGCAAAAGCAAGCGGGACCACTGGAGCCAACTGACACTGCTAGGATGATGGACCATGACCAGTGACACTATTGCAAGCACACAAGAAGCAAGTCCCTTCTCTGACTGCAGCCTCCTTCTGGCACCTAAACTGGCAACTGGAAAAAGAGAAATGATTAAAGCGAGGCCACCTCACAAAACAGAGTACAGAAGAATGGATTCTGAGATGAGAAATGGCTAACTTACTAGATGACTCATCCTCCCATTCATTATATACATTTATGGGGTGCTTAGTGTGTGTCAGATGTGCTTGATGCTGGGGAGCCTGGAGAAATAAAAGAAAAACTCATAAAGTCTACAGCTCAGTAACTAGCACAAGGTCAACCCTCACTAAAATTAGCTCTCTGCTCTTAGGCCCAGTGGGAAATGAAAAGGGAAAGGAAGTGGAAGATAAAACAACAAAAACAGCTCCTACTTTTACAGGGTCTAATGTTTACATTAAGTGTTGTGGGATATGTCATCTGGCAAAGAAGTACAAAGTGATGCAGAAGCTTCTTGGTATCCACGGGTTCCACTGATTCAACCACAGATCTAAAATATTTCAAAAAATTTGCATCTGTGGTGAGCACGTACAAACTTTCTTCTTGGCATGATTCCCTGAACAATACAGTATAACAATGACTTACACAGTATTCACATTGTATTAGGTATTGTAAATAATCTAGAGATGATTTAAAACCTACAGGAGGGTGTGCATAGATTCTATGCAAATATTAAGACACGTTACATCAGGAACTTGAACATCTGCAGATTTTGTTATCAATGGAGACCGGTCTCCCATACATACTGAATGATAACTGTGCATATTTGCACTCACTCAGAAGAATTTCTGACATAACTGTTTTGTGAATTCAGAGAAGCAAAAGAATATTTTTGGCAATCCCAAGGAAGTCTTCTCAAAAAATGGGAATGAGCAAGACCTGAGTATTTAGACTGTGGAAGCTAAATAAGGAGTAGGAAGGGCTGAGGTTGTAGTTCAGTAGTAGAGCACCTGCCTAAATGGAAGAAAGTGTACAAGCAAATCAAACAAACATGGTGGAAATATGTTGGGTGTGTATGTTGCCAGTATCAAGGAATACAAGATGAATTCATGATGTGGGGTATATCATGGGGGAGTAGGTTATTTCTGGACTTCATTCTGAGGCATAGATGAGCCACTAGAGCCTCTTGAATAAGCAGAAATTATGTGTGAAATGTATTATCTTTATGTCCTTGATGTCTAATGCAATAGCTTGCATATAATGGAATATTTGGGGGAAAATTTTTATTACAGTGAATGGGATGGGATAGGATAAGATAGAATTAAAATGGCAGGTCTTAAGTTTGAAAATTTGCATACATCTATCTCTGTCTTAATTTTAACAACCAACGTTTTATGAACTGTTCTGTGGAATCTACAAGCAACTTTAAATCCAAAAGTTCAGGAACTAAAAGAATTCAAATGATAATAAAATTTAAAGTAATAAAATTTGAATGACAAAACTGTTAAGAAATAAAGATGTAACCCAACTTTCATGACCCAGTATCCATTCCCTGTGGTCAGAGTGAACACCACACTGACACACTGACCAACTGTAAGAGTGGACATGACATTGCCTGGACAGAGTGGGAGGGGCTGGCAAAAACATCACAGACATAAAAATATATCGGGCAATGTGTTTTTTTGAGTAATTTTTAGTGACTTGTGTGAAAACAATAACATAATTGGCATGAATTTTAAATCTGAGTTTCTGAGTATACAATGCACTCATGAATAAGATGTTGTTTTTCTCTTGGCAGATCCATTGCAGGATTTTGGCTTTTCTATTGACCAGTGTTCCAAACAATTAAAATCAGATCTCAACATTAGATTTGGCATCATTCTGAGTGAGTAGAAATTATTACCTTGAAATAAAACATAGCACAGCTTCTTCCAACTCCACAGTCAACTGACTTAGCTTAACTACAACAGCTGACTACACTATTCCCCCATCACTCTCTGGAATTAACACTATTTCCGTCTTCATTTTCATTCTTCTCTCTGGGTAATAGCTAGGTAGAGCAGAACTCTCATTGAATGCTATGCTTTTGCACTAAAAAGACTCCAGACACTCATTTGGGTGATATAAGCACCTGAAATCAGTATACCTAGCAAAAAAAAGAAATTATTTTCAGACTGAGTATTGGCGTCTACACAGGAGAGAGGCTCTACTCGGCTATCTGTGCCACAAACAAATCTACTACCTACCAGCAGTGTAATTCGCCATTATTTTGTTTCCTGAATAGCTGTTACACATTCTCAAATCTTGACCCAGAAAAAAAAGTGTAAAATCTCTCCTCACCCCAATCAATGAACAGTACACTTTCTGATTGGTTTTTGTTTGATCGTGTCATTACAGTTACTCAGTGTATTTGCTACAGCTATTAATGTATCCCCTTTTCTAAAATGGTTTTATCAAAATCTGAACAGAAGGATTTAATAAACATGTGGAATCATTCCAGAGAAGGAGAAGGAGCATTTCCAGAATGAGAACTTTCATGAAACTCTGTGTTTCTAGAATTTTACACAATATCTATATTCCAGCAGTACCTCAAGAAATGCCTTGGTAAATAAAGAAAGAGATAAAAGAGGGATAAGGAGGAATACAAAAGGCAGTAATGGAGAAAAAGGCAGAAAGAACTGGAAGCCACCACCAGATAGATCCCTGAAGCTCTCCGTGCAACTGTGCGCAGTGTCTGCCTGGCAACAGTAAGGGACTTACAGGCTTGACCACTCCTGCTGCTGTCATGAGGAATAAATAATACTATGTAATTGGGACTTTCTAGAAGCCAGACCTGCAGACACCCCATCAAAGGTTATAGCAACAGGACTGGGGAGTACAGACCATAAGTTACCTTGCCCCAAACAGGTAACATTTAAGAATGAGCCACTTCCCTACCCAGGGTCATCATCAAAATCCCCTGAGACATGATTTAAAATGCTGTTTTACCAAGAAAAGAAAATTACTACCCATGCAGAGCAAACTAATGGGAATTTAGTTCATGCTGTTATGAACTTTGACGGCCTTGACTGCAGCAAAACAGTAATAAAGATGCTCTTCCTTTCTTTAGGACAAGACATCAAAGAGCTGTTTCTTGACATAGCTCTGGTTTCTGATGGTTCGTCTATTTTGAATTTCTCCTATCCCATCTGTGAGGAGGACTTCCCCAAGTTTTCCTTCTGTGGAAGAAGGAAAGGAGGTAAGCTATCTGCCCTGGCTCTTCCCCTCACCTTTGGACAACCTTAATCTCACTCACCAGTACCTGTTACATAAAAATAATAAGAAAGTCCATCCCTGGGGCCTTCCTTGCAGGGCTGCTGTAAACATCAAAATGAAACGATGTATCGATGAGTTCAAGCAGAAAATTGTTACTGTAAGTAACAATAAAGAAAAACTGATAGCAAAAAGAGCCAACATTCCAAAAATCCAGGAGAATTCAACATGTTTACAGATTTCCTCTCAATGATCTCTTTAATATCAGAGTCTCTTCAATATAGCAATGGATGCTGAAAAAAAAAAACGAATGAAACTTAGCAAGTGTCACTGCCTCTTCCATTGGGGTTGATCACTGATAGGGCCATCAGGTAGCTAGACTCAAAGTAGATAAGCAGAAGCCCATTATATTAGCTCCCTTTTCTCAATTCACTAACCTGCTGCATTTTTGCCATACATAACTACAAAAGCACAGACCAGCCCCCCAAGCCTGCCCCACCTTCCATTTCCTCCTTATCCTTGCCTGCCAACCAAACTAAGGCCCTGAGATACCTCTTTGTTTAATTAAAGCTTGGGTCTGTTCTGCAACTTGCATTCCCCACAAGTTGTTCTCTTTCTGCTGCTTCCTCTTTCCCAGGGCCTCCTTCCTCTTCTCATTGGCCAAGGGGGAGCATAACTCAGTCTCACATTCCAGAAACATCTCCTTGTCTATTTCTATGCTCAGGGAAATTAGGATTTTAATCAGTAACAATCCTGGCAACTGACTGGATTATCCTTTCCAATCAAAAGATGTAGAAGACAGCAGAGTCACCTTGATATAGCAATGACACAGAAGAAGTTTGTCTGTAAGAACAGGAAACAGGGAACTTAAGGGCAGATTGACCAGAGGGAAACCAAGTGAACATCACTGTAATTTGTAGATGACAGATTCAATTCTGCTCTCCTCCTTGGCCTCCTCTCTGTCCCCTGACTGTGGGGCACATAGCCCTCTTGTAGCACTTGCCATATTATATAAACATTTATCCCAGTTGTCATCCACACTAGACTAGGAGCTTCCTGGGGCTGGAGCAGTATCACCTTTTTCTTTTTGGTCCCAGTACAGTTATCCCTCAGGGTCTATGGGGGACTGGTCCCAGGACCCCCTGCAGATAACAAAATCCATGGATGTGCAAGTCAATTACATAAAATAGGTAGCATTTGCATAGAATTCGTGCACTTCTTAAAGCATAACTTAAATCATCCTCCAAGTTATTTACTTTATCTATATAATGTAAATTCTGTTTAAATAGTTGCTATACCATATTTAGGGAGCAATGTCGAAAAAAAAAATCCATACATTTGTTTGGTATAGATGTAATGTTTGGGGTTTTTTTCAAATATTTTGCTACATAGTTGATGGAATCTGGGGCTGTAAAACCTGCAAATACAAAGGCCCACTCTGTTTTAAATATGCCTGGTACTTAGTGAGCACTTCATACAGACACTTAGAGGGAGCCTGCTAACATAACCAAGCATTGAACCAGCTGCTTACATCCAGTAAGTCATTTACTTCTTACTCAACTTTACATACAAGTCAGTCCCATCAGTACTACAAGTCAATAGAGGCTTTAGCATCCTATGCCAGGTTATAGAGCTGGTGAGGGACCCATGGCTAGGACCCAGCTGTCTCTCTCCCAGGCCCTGTCTTAGCTTGGAAAGAATGAATGAACAAAAGAATATACAATGAAACATATGAATGTATATTTTGGCCAGGAATATTTAAAATAATCGCTTAAGAACTGTTTCTGCCCAATAGTACAACTGTGTTTTGTTCTTAGCTAATGCACTGTAGAATGATATCAGTTTTCCTCTGTCAAGTTACTGGAGAGATTTTTGATGAATTGAGTACATGTATGCATTCCTTCAGCATCTCTGTTAACCTTTTCTACCTGCTCTCATCCAGGCCAACCCAAAGCCCTCAGCCAAGGTTAACCTTCCCTCCTCCCTTCCTTGTTCCCTCTCTCTCGATTCCTTCTTTCCCTCCTTTCCCCCTCTTTCCATTCACTCCTTTCTTCCTTCTCTCCCTCCTTCCTTCTGTCTACTTCTTTCTTTTTCCCTCTCTCTCTTGTCCTTCCTTTCCTTCCTTCCACAAGGATTAAGTACTGCCTCTGGGCCAAGTGCCCTGGGGAATCCAAGATGACTTAACAATGCTTCCTGCCATCAAGGACACAATGATTGGCTAGAGAAGATGACAATTTCACAAAGCAATGGTTCCAAGTTGCCATGTGTGGTGTGCACATTAAAGTGGAACAACGAAGGTCAAGTCAGTCTGAGAGATGGAGTTTTTTTCCCCAGTGAGTTCCACAGTTGGAACAGGACAGCCAGGAATTAAGTAAGGAATTACTTTCCTGTTGCCTTAAAGTTATTTATAGCCCAGTGCAGGAGATATATATATAATTTTTGCATGCAGCATAATACTGCAAGCATTTCCAGTTTTAAAGAATGTTTTGAAGGAATTCAAATCATATCACGCTGATAATGAAAGAACCACCCAGGAAAGGCTGTTTCATAGGCTGTCACCAATAGCCAGCATCTACAGTCCTATCTCAAGCCTTTTGCTTATCTTTCCATTTGTTCCCCCAAATAAGTGTTCTTCAGCTCAAATATAGCTATAGGAACTACTACCAGCTTAGCAAGAAAGAACACAGTCCGCTGTCCTATTCTTTAGATCAAGTCCCTTCCTCCCCTCACAGTGCTGCCACCTGGTGGTCTTAAACACAGCTCTCATAACATTTACCATCTTCCTAAAAGATCTCAAGTTTCCTTTTTTGCATAAAATCTAAGTTCTTCTTAAAATTAATTTATTTAATATATTTTTATTTTTAATTGACACTTAATACTTGTACATATTTATGGAGCACCATGTGGCTTTTCAATCCATGCATACAACTTGCAATGAGCAGATCAGGGTAACTGGCACGTCCATCAGCTCAGATACATATTCAGATGTATATCACTTCTTTGTGTTGGGAATATTCATGATCCTCTCTACGATGTATTTTGAAATATTTAACTAGTTGTTGTCAACCATATATGTCTTACTATGCTGTAGAGCATGAGTCATTCCTCCTCTCCTACTGCACCCCTGTACCCATTAACCAGCATCTCCCCCACTTCCTTCCCCCATTGCCCTTTCCTGGCTCTGTGAACCATTATTCTACTCTCTGTGTCACTGAGATCAACTTTTTAGCTTCCACATATGGTGTGAAAATGTGGCATTTGTCTTTCTGTGCATTATTTCTCCTAATATAATGTCCCATGTTCACCCATGTTGCAGAATTTCATTCCTTTTCATGTTTTAAGAATATTCCATTGTATATATGTCCGTATTTTCTTTATCTTCTCAACGGTGGATAGACTCCTCAGTTTATTCCAACATGTAAGTTCTTTAACAATCAAAGTGCATCATAAATCTGACTCTCCCACTTCTCCAGCCACCTCTTGCTCCATTCCCTATGTGCATCTTCAGCAACCTCAACAAACCATCACCACTTCTGACCACTGCCTGCATGTTAGCACAGTGTTGTCCTGACAGTCCCCTTAGCCTGAAATTCCTACTCCCCATTTGCCTTCCATCCAGATCTAATCCAAGAAGCCTTCCTCCAACCTCAGCCAAATGAATCACTTTGAATCACTGCCAGAGCCAGGGAAACACAGTGTCAGGAAGCAGGGTTAGAGATGCTGGTTAATGATACAGGGGTGCAGCTGCAGAGGAGGAGATACCTTCCAGTGTTTTATAACGGAGCAGGGTAACTATGGTTGACAACAAGGAATTGGTCCTTCTTCTGTTATAGACTTATCTCAACTGCAATTGTATTTGTGTGTGTGTGTGTGTGTGTGTGTGTGTGTGTGTGTACCATTAAACTTAGAACTCCTTGAAGACAGATGTGTTTCTTGCTCATCTCTGTCTCTGCAGACATGATAAACAATGCAGACCCAGAGAGAAAACACAATCAATCCTTGTTTTATTGAATTTGCATGTGGGCATATTACACACTGAATATAAGCAAACCAGTCCACATCAAAAGTGACCATCTAGTAAATAGTTAACAAAGACACAGACTCATCAAATCCTAGCAGTCGATTTTCTTAGTCCTCCAAGTTTAAGAAAACCTTACTATTTATTTCCCTGTGCATAGTTTTAGTAGAATTAATAAAACAGGAGGAATAGAAGTAATAAAACAGGAGGAATACTGCTCCCTCAGTTTGAAGTGCCCAATTCAGTGGATCAGCTCAGAAGACTGGTGTCTACCTTGTTGGAATGTCAGGCAGTCTGCAGCTATGTATTGGCTTTATTACTATGGAAATGATGGCTGCAAAGGCAGGCTGAGGGGCTGGCATTTGGAGAATTGTCAGAGAATTTCATTTCATGTAAAACAATCAGAAATGTGATATGCAGGTGATGCATAAACAAACAATTACATAAATTCTGTAAGCCGGAGAAACTGAAATCTTAACATCTGAGGCTTCTTGAGTTACAAAAAGTTCTTAACCCACCCACAAACCCACTATTCTTAGTGATTAACACTAAGATCAGAAAGGAAGAAAGGAACACCAGGAAGAGCTGAAGTCAACTCAGACTCAAGCACTGGCTGCTATTGGCACGTCAAGCATGAAACAGTCACTTAGGAGCTTGCAGATTCTTCTTAGCAGAGCCCTGAGAAAACTTGGTGTCCCCTGGAGGGTGTAATTTCTGCTGTCACTTGCAGTCAAGTTGTTTGGTATCATTTCCACAGCATTATCATGCATTCCTCTACAAAATGTATCCCATTGGCTGCTCTCCAAGACAAGTCAGGTTTAGTGAAACAGTAGGAATAAAATATTGCCTTCTTTTTTGCACCTGCCTCAGCTAGCTCTAAGACAAGAAGCACTTTGGATTCATAAACCAATTGACGCTCTCTTGGCATCAGAATGTATATGATTAGCAATTTAGGGGAAGCAAATTAT